CATTTTCATAAACCTAGCCAAAGGTGAAGCTCAATGAGCCAGCAGAGAAAAAAATGAAAACATGAAGCCAAATTGAGTCAATTTATCTGGATTTATGTTGTGATGTAAGATTCCTAAACTCTGTTTGCACAATCCATTTAGAGGAGATGCACAAACATAGAAGAAATGAGCCTCTGTCTCTTTAAGAAGCTCCTGCCCTGTAAGAATTTAAAAACATTAAATGGAAGACCAGCGCTTGTTTTGCTATGCGGTTGCTGTGCACTCTTGTTTGCGACTGTGACTCCATGTGCAGCGTGTGTCCTCTTGTGGCTCTGATGATGCTGTTGCTAACACCGAACGCGTCCCACCAGCTCAGCTCACACCGTCTCAAACACACATGGCAGCAACGACAGAGACACTGACCTGGTATCTGTAGCAACAGTTACATTCACCTGTCAGGCTGAAGACAGGTTGTAAGACCTGAAGTTGTGTCTAATGAAGGAAAAGAAAGACGATTGGAGAAAGGAGTAGAAATTTAAATGACACTGCAGAGTTTCAGTGCATCTAATTGGAAAGAACAGAGTGTTTTCAAAGGTGGGGTTAGGCAGGTTCTCCCAGTGGGTCGACTCACTGTCAGAAATAAAATCTGGAAAACGCTTACTTGAATATCTAAAGCGGGCATTAATGAGCCTCTCAGTTCATGCGAGTATTTGCCAAATCCCAGAATAATACGCAAGATAATTTATTACAAGTCCTTTCCTTTAATTCACTGTTGCACTACACATAATGGATGGCAGAAAAAATATCCTACATGCACTGAAGCAAGAAAGGTGCCCTCCCGATGAACAATGGCCCCAAGAATGCTGTCAAACATTTACAAAATGGTCTGAGAAAATTAAATTAGTATTTGAGTGTTGCCAGCAAAACATCATGCTTTCAGTCCAGTAAAAAAAAAAAACAACAAAGAATTGTGGTTATTCTACCTACAAATGAAACATTAGTAGGTATAAAGGTTCATGAACCTTTCTCTGTTACACCAGTTCTGTAAGAAGCAAAAGGCCGCATTTTCAGCAAACTATTGTGAGAAGCAGATGTTATGCCTTGGTAATAACATCTGATCTGACCAGGGTAACACAGTTTAACACGCAATTCTACATACTATAAATGAAGTGCATGTAAATCTCTTTTAAATAAAGTATGAAAATAAATATCTCACTAATTATTCTGGGATTAACAAAAAGTCATCCTGAATGACCCAATACAGTTAAACTTGAAGGTCTTTTAGTTTCAAGGGGGGGGAGAAAAACACCTGCGTCTTTTTATGCAAAGAATGTGAATAATTGATTTTAACTCTAAACAAACCAGAGGCTCTCTGAGGCGTCACAATAACGAGAACACCAGAGTGCACTAAACTATGTCAAGACAGAAAATAAACTGTGGGTAGTGCAACCTATAAAGGTTTTATTATCAGACATAAGGCCTGAAATACCACAGTAGGTTTCCCTGCTTCCAGCAGATTGGTTTTAATGTGGTCTCTCAGGACTTCCACACCCAATCATGTGCTGTCTTTTATTACTTTCCTTTTCATGTTGTCTACAGCTGTCAGCGGTTGAAGAGAGGCAAACGGGAGCGGCAAAATCATGTGGAAAGTGTAGTTTGATAAAAGCAAACAAAGCGCAAATCTCACTTAAATGGAGAGCCAAGGCATCAGAGGACCACAAGAAACATCAGCAAGGGCCAAAGAACATGTAGACCTGATGACAACAAGAGCATGGAGCAGAGGGAATGAGAGATAACGTGCATAGAGGAAGGAGTGATTAGTGGAGCAGTGAACAGGTGAGAATAATTAACTGGTTGTGCTGCAGCTGAAGGGGAAGATGAATTGAGGTGTAGCCAGAAGTGACAGAGAAACAGTGTTAACGTTAAAAAGGAAAACAGGTGAAGCAATTGAGACAAATGGATATAAGGAACTTTAAAGAAACACTGTTCTTTGCTGTCAAATATTGGTTGCTTCATATTAAACCTTATTGTGAGATACTGCATGTCTTCATTATTATACTTCTGTTTCTGGCAGCATGTCGGATAAAATGCTCTCATTTTAACCAAAAATATTTCTGTGATCAAACCCAAAAAAGACATAATTTTGCATGAATGCTGCTCCACTGATTTTTTTTAGGGGACGTTTATGATTGACCATGTGATGCTTCAATAATTGTGGTAAAACACAAATTGTATGTTGTGTGTGTTGCTAATTATCCAACACAAGCAGCCCATATCACTCACTCTTCCAAATGTGTGTGTGACAGAACTGTGGTGTGATCGGAGAGGTGGGGAGAGAAAAGCACAGTCTGCAGATTTCACCCAAAACCTAATTAATCAAAAGCACATAAACAGAGCAGCTCTTTGTGCCTGCTGAGTCTAAAATTAGCAAACAGTCTGCTGAACGACAAACAGGATGGTGGGAGGAAGACATGCTGCCAAAAGGTGTAGCTGAGACACACAAGACTAGCACAGGTGGAAAACACCATGTTGGGCACAAGAGTGCTATTAGTAGCTATGAATAATTATTGATTTTTATCATAACTATACCAGAAGCCATATATGTATTTTCATGACATAAAGAAATTGGATGATTTATTTTTTTTTCTATTCTGAGTGACAATATGAAACTAAGCTTGTGTGATTTTATGTTATTTAGAATTGGCAAAAATAATGTCTATTAGCTAAATCCTATAAAAAAAACAAACCATTGTTATATAAATATGATGCCCCATCTCCTCCCTCCAATGTTTTTACTTAAATGATATTAACGTGTGTCGGGCTCTTTTCGTTTCTTAATCATTGAGACAAAGTTTTACTTATGTCAAAGCATTCAAACCCGTCTGTAGCTGCCGAACTTCTTTTTACATGTTTCACAGGGATTATCCCTTTTTTCACATCTAACATTTTATTATCACTCTGTCAAAAAATATATTTTTGTAATGATCTGTTCTTGACTTTCTTGAGATTATGTGTTGTTTCTGAGATCTCTCAGCTGGAACTTCAGGTTCTACTTATGTCATGTCTTGAATCCACAGGTCACATATTTGTAAAATTTAACAAAAATACCACCAATTTGACATTATGTTTTGATGACTTAACAATCAAAACTCACAAAAGCAACTGGTGAAAATAGACTCAGTCCTACTACAGACAGCAAGCCATTTTACTTTCCGTAGACTTTGACTCAAAGTTTTCTACAGCTTTGAAAAGCTGAACACTAGAGACCCTTTGTGATTTAATGCTAACAGAACACGGTGATAACAAGCAAACCACTTCCAAAGAATTCATCACTCTGTATTTGCACGTAAACTTTCTGAGTAATGCTTTTTTAGCCAGTTTCCCTGCTCTTCCTTTTCAAGGTTTGAATAACTTTTAGACTTGCAAATACATGGCATGTGGGTGTTTCAGTATCCCTCATCCATATTCATGGATTCTGCAGCAACATCCATGGTTTATCCTCCTAAATTGCTAAAACTGACATCTTCAACTCGCAGCACACCTGCAGCATGAAATAAAATGTTTGTTACATTAGAACTTCAGGAAGGAAAAGGCTGCCTAAAGCGAACAGAAATAGAGATTAATAAGCTCCCAAAATGTAAAATGAGCTTTTTTTTTAAGGAAACGATTCCTTTTAGGGATATGTGATCACACAAGAAACCTTTAGCAACAACTAGAAATACATTTCTAATGTTTCTTCAATCTGTATTATAAGCTGCAAGAAGATAAATGTCACCAATATAGCTGTAAATGTACATGCTACATGCTCATATATATATATTTTTTTTTGAAGAACAGTAAACACCAGCGATCTAATAAATAAATCCTAAATATTCATATTTTTTACAAATCTTTAGATTATCATAGTTCACAAAGATCACTTAACATCATAAAACCAAAGTGTCATACATTTCAACTGTCTGGAAATTCTCATGTTGATCCAAAAGTCCCTAATTCTGCACCTCAGTTAGGTATTTGTTGTTCCTTTTTGGATTTATTTGTTTAATCCGGAATGAAATACAACAAACAGTAAAAAAAAAAAAAAAAAAAAAACTGTAAATGTTTTTTCCAGCCTTTTTGCCAGCAAGCATTGCATTATGAATATTGTGAGAAGAGGCAATGTCATACTGCGTGAGAGACGTATTGCCGAAGAAGAGGATTTTACAAATATTTTAAAACAGAGACAGTTATTGAAATCACCGTAGCATCTCATATGAGCAATTAAAGAATTGCATTTCCAAGTTGCCAGTTGCCAAGGACAGATTTAGAAAGCCAATCTCCCACATATTAATGCCACAACATGCTTGTACTTTGTCTTTGTTTATTTGCAATGTCCACAGCTAAGTAAAAGACACAAAATAATTTTGACCACTGTATCTTTGCAGAAAATCATTGCTCTGTCAGAATGTTCTATTTTTCACATTTTTAATTAACATTTTTTCTTCTTGTTGTTTTGAAAGCAGAATACCGCAGTATTTTCACACCCACAACCTATCATAACCTGTATCTCTCGCCTTGACACGTTAATGGAGAATCTGACGGAGTTTTATCATGCAATTAGTGCCACTTGCTGAAGCCTTGCACTGGCAGTCCATCACAAATGCACACAAAGGGGCTTTCATCCTTCCCTTTTTTTTTTGCTAATTTGTGTGGTTTTTTTTTTACACTTTACTGATTCAGTCAGTTCATTCACTTGCTTCAATTAAAGCTCATTAGAGTAAAAAGTAGATTGCTGGCACTGCAAACAAAGTCAGCAAAGCAAAGCAGTGTTTGTCCACCCTGTCTCTGGTTAACATTTCTCAATCATCGATTGTTTTTATCTTTTGCTTAATGGGTGAGTCATAAACTTCTGCTCGGGTTTGCTTAGTAGATTCAGCTTTGTCATAAATAATCATAAAATGATGGTAAAAAGAAAACCAAACAGATCTACACTCACAGATGAACCCTGCCCCACATGCATATCCTTGTCTAATGTGACCTACCTCAGTAAGGTGGGGGTTGGGGTTGAATCCACACTGGTTGCACACGGTGGACTTGCACTGGGTGCAAGTGTTGTAGTTGGGTACAGCCGGTGGATTGGACAGCTCTGTGGTGGTGCACACTGGGCACAGTTTGCTGCTTGGCATGGGTGCGATCTGCGGCAGGGAGTAGGGCGAGGTGGGAGTCACGCCGCGGTCAGGAGACACTGAAGGAGACCGGCCCGTCCGAGAGCCACCCGAGCCACTGAAGTCGACTTGGAGGTTTCGGCGGGAGGCATGCTGACCGGGACTTTGGCCACCGTGGCCTGCCATACTGGAGCCAGTTGCGGTGTGACCCACCCCATGGCCGTATCCTGAGACCTGCCCCATGCCCGACCCTTGGCTGGACTGCATGTGTCGAGGGGAGGTTGGGCTGTCATGAGCGGCCAGACGATACGGCTCTCCAGCTCTGGACCCTATTCCTCCACCACTGCCCATTCCCCCCAAACCTCCTCTACCTATTCCCCCCATTCCTCCTCCCATTCCCCCATTCCTCCTCCTATCCCACCCATACCTCCTCCCCATTCCTCCTCCCATCCCTCCCCCCCTCCCATCCCTCCCCCATTCCTCTCCTCCCATCCCTCCCCCCATTCCTCCTCCTCCCATTCCTCCGCCCATTCCTCCTCCTCCCATCCCTCCCCCATTCCTGTCCCCATTCCTCCTCCCATCCCACTCATCCCCCCACCTCCCATTCCTCCTCCACCATGTCCACCTGGTTGCATTCCTGGCTTTGGACTACCCATCGGGCCTGTTGGACCTCTGAAAGAGACGAAGCAAAAGAGAATTCATGCTCAAGAGATGGCCTTAAAATCTGGTTAAATTCTCTGCAGACACACCTAATTATGTTGCAGTGCCTTTCAAAAGTATTTACACCCTTATATTTTCTTGCATGTGACACTTTACATCTACAAATCTCAAAAGTATTTAGTAGTTATCTGGTAATGAAAAAAAGAATATATTTTCCCCAGAAAAAAACAAGATTTAAAGCATCAATCAATATTGCAACTTTTACTGCAAACTAAGTTTTTCTTTATTTGTTTAGGTATGTATTTGAATAACCATTAAATACACATGTGGATAAAAAAAGTACACTTATAATAAGATCTGAGTTAATTGTGAATGCTAAAATGTAGAGTCACTCTGCTGTAGTGTAGAGTTTGAGGTCAGTGGCCGTTGCGTTCCTGTGCAATTCCACTTGAAAATAGTTTTCACTCAGACTCACTGTTCAATTTCTGACAGGGCCACTTAGCAAACAGAGTAAGAAGTTGTGAAAGTCAATTTTCTGGGCTGTTTTAGACTTGTGGTCTGCCTGTGGTTTCAGCAATGGCAGTGAAAGAAGCCGTTCAGTTCATGTTTTCCACGCTTCCAAATATTAAATTAATAACTTTAACAGTTGCCTTGTTCAGATCGGCTCTTCTGTCTTCACAGAGGAGAATGTTTGTTTATAACACAGGCAATTTCGGGTAAGCTTCATAGTGTCAAACTGGCACATTATATTCGTCATGGGCAAACGTTAGTGACTGGGTAAAATTTAAAACCTAAATACAGTCCATGCCTCCGGCAAGCAATCATTTCTCAACAGCCGAGAGATCAGACCCTCTGTGTAAAGCAAAATGGCCGGTTTTTACCAGGCTTTATGTCTCGATGACAAAGGCAACAGACTCACTGCCACTGTAATGATAACTCCAGATGCAAGCATAAGAAAACAAGATCTTCTTTGATCAGGAATGCAACATATTTCCAGCAATCGGGGCTAAGAGATGTTCCAGTTAACACTGAAAATGTGAAATCTCTCTCCTCCTTTTCCCAATATCTAGTTAACATCAAATCCTGTCCCTGTAAAATCTTTTTTCCCCCATTTCTGACTTTCTACAATTCTTATTTTCGAACTCTTTACTTTCTTTTCTCTTGGCACTAATACTGGCCTTGTTCAACTGCTTTTTGTTTCTTTAACGTAATTTTTTTCTCTCTTGACATTTTCATTTCCACTCCTAAAAGGAGAGTGAACATTGACTGACCCCCGAGCCTTTTCTTTCACAACCCTTCTTTCAGAAAAAGTCACCTTTACAAGAACTAAGGTACTTTTATAAGAACACAAAGCAATAAATATGTATTTGTAGATCTGCATTATCAATCATTTAAATGAAAAATTAACCTTTTTTTTAGTCGTGTTAAAAACATTCAGCTGACTGAATTAGCATATCTCAAAGTTCAAACTACTGCTTAAACTAATCCACTCAAGAAACAATAAAACAGTGACACGAAACTGCTTCCCATGAAACTGGTTTAACTGGGATTTTCCAGGATGGATAAGTTCCTTATTCCACTGCTGTACTTGCAGCAGAACAAGTCTATTTAGGTTATTGGTGTGCCCAAACCAAACATCTATTTCTCCTCCTCTTCCATTCCTCCTCTGCCTGCAATTCTTCCCACTCCGGGCTGTTGACAGAATTGCTTTTGTACGGCCCATTTATTTCCATCTGCCTTTTCCCCTCCCTCCTTTCTCTCCACCTCACCTCGCATTATTTCTCTGTCCTTTTCTCCTCTTCTCTCCCGTCACACCAGCGCGAATATTCACCTGGCGTCTACGTCCCTCGCACACACAGTAAAAATTGTTTAGCTCACCCAAAAGGAAAATTATATTTCTACTTCATGAAGAAAAAAATCAAATAAAAAAGGACTGCTTCTCAGAAATCCTAGGAGGGCCATAAAGAGTTTGGAGGGCTGATGTGTTTTCCAGTCAGGAAAAAGTAACTTTGGCTGCATGTTGCAGTATTTTATTTATTTAAACACAAAAATAAGCAGAGTAAACACAAAATCTAGTTTTGAAAAGATTAGTTCATTTAAGAAAAAAACATGGTCAAAGCCTGAATGTCTTCCTTCTGATCAATTAACTGTGATTAACATTTTTTGGACTCAAATTCACTATCAACACCCTGATTACTCTGAGTTGTACACATGCAAAACTACTAAAATATAGCATGTCTGGATGCAGGAAGTAAGCTAAAATATATAATATGTTTAAAGAAGTTTAAAAAAGAGAGAGAGAGAGATACACAAAATGATTAAAACCTGTCAGTCTGGAAGGGCCTCTGTAATAATTTCTAAGGTTTTAGGTCACTAGCAAACCACACAGAGAAATATAATAATCAATTTTATTTATAAAGCCCTTTTTATCTCCTATTGAAATCTCAAAAGGTTCATTCACACACTGGTGATGGCAAGCTACTGGCTTGTAGCTGCAGCAAAAAGCAGTTGTAAATCCAGATGTTGCAGCCATTGGTGGCACAGCAGCCATTAGCAAAAGAAACAAACAAACATAAATAAAAGAAGTGCATGAAGAAGTAAGGGCTTTTATAGGGCATTAGTAATGAATGACAAGCTAGCTACCACCATTGCTAGGTTTGACGTAGTTTAGATAGCAGATGTATTTCCTTGTATCCACTTTCACTAAAGTAATTTTAATTGTTTGCTGTGAAACCTAATTATTTCTCTCCACTCGACTCCAGAAGCTTACAGGAAGGTCTTACCTCACTGAAAGTCCTGGTGCCACTCTCCCTGTTGTTTTTCTGACCTTTTTTTTTTCTTCTGATTCACATCCCTGGTGACCCACAGTCCTCCTGTTTCAGATCTCTTTACATCAACAACTTTGCAATCTGTTGGAAAATATTAACAAGGTCCACAAGCAGGGCCATTTCTGTCTATTCCTCATCCAAACAACTGACGGACTTGGCAGTCGATGCTCTTTTCTCCTCCGTAGTACTCTGTCAGATGATTCACAACAAAGGCGCAACCTGCTAATTGCAGTTACTATGGGCGCTATGTCTACTGGGCATACATGCAGAAAGGAAGACAGAGACTGGATGAACACATACTATGAGTACATACATGTTGACTAAGTGTATTGCACATAATATAGAAGACAATTGTTGGGTATTGCAACGGCAGTAGACTTCTCAGGTGGCAGCGTTAAACTGGTACTCCAGTCAAATTTGTCATTTTGGTCTCTAATTCACCTGCATCAACAGTTTATGCTTATCACTGAAAGAAAAAAATGACCTGTTAGTGTAACACAGAATGTCACACTATTGCAGGGTGCTTCAAAATTCTGACAGCCATATTTTTAGACACTGTTCTGTCTGTCTGGTTATATTGAACTGTTTCTTCGAGTCATCTGAGTAATGCTATTATTTCAGCCCCGATAGAACAGCCTGAACAACATATTAACAAGAACAACATCATTTCTAACAATTGTTCCTCTGTTTTTCTATTCTTATAGCAGAAGACACTAGGAAGGTAAAAATTCTCTACTCAACATAACTCAGATTCAGACAGTTTCCAAATGTCAGCTAGAAACCACCTGGTCTGCTGCCACTTCCTGCTTCATGAAGAGAATGTAGTTCACTTCAAAACCACAAGGTGGCAAGTAAAAGACAGCTAATAGGATCAACAGTGTTTGTGGCATATGTATGTGACCCTGGCTTTATTGAAATTGCAGACCGATGCTACTTCATTGACTAAGGTTCAAAAGGTTTTTTCATCAATCATCTATTTATTTATTTTTTTGCACGGCTTGTGAAACTGTTTCTTGGGCCATATATCCCAGATATGTCGTCGATCAAATCTGGCATTCCTCATCATGTTCTAAGCCTTTTTTTTTTAAAGAAAAAAAGACATTTACGATATGCTCATACTCAAAGAAAGATTTTGTTGACTTTTGTCTACTCAACGTTTCAACCGAAATGGCCAAGAATGCCCTAATTTTAATAAAACTTACATAAATGGTGCTCAGAAAACAGACGAACTGTGGGTGCACAAAGATGTGAATTCAAAGAAAACTGTGAGAAGCATTCTCTTTTTTTCACAAATAAATGTGATAAAATGACAGCAACACTTACACATGTCTAGATGTCCCTGCTCGAGAACAATCTCACAGTAGTTGGAGACGCTCTCACCACCAGTGTGCAATAGATTGCTCCTTTTCAACCAAAAACACACACACACACACACACACACACACGCACACACACACACACACACACGCATGCAGGTGCCTGCTCCTCTCCTTGGTGTTAAAAATCGTGTAAACCCCTGTTCACAACAGGCTGCACAACCGCTGGCAAATTGTAAGTAACACATGCAAAAAAAGAGAAAACTGGGCCATAAATTGGATTTCTAAGCTTGAATCGATAGGCCTCACTCTGAGAATGATCATTGGCTGAATGAGTGTTATAAAACCTGCTAGTTAACAAGCCCACAATGAGGTTGTTGTCCAGCCTGAAGATGGTTGTTTGGAGACAAATTATGCAGCGTATCGAGTAACTGACCGGCCAACTGAATGAGCATCCCACTGAGTTATTAACTCGCTGGCTCACTTACAACTAAGAGGGCAACCACTGCTCTGTAGGGTTTAGGTAGCAGCACTACACCCACAGTGTCTGGTGAAAAAAGAAAAACCTATTTCAACTGCAGAGCCTGCTGGCTAAATGGGCAACAGTCTTGGAGTCGTACGACTGCTCTTTCTGTTTGACTCTGAAACGAAAACAGGCTGATTCTGCCAAAGAGAAGCTGGTGGTGAATTTGCTTAAACACAAAACACATGAGGAGGTTGAGGCTGAGATGAGAAGGTTTACGACATTCAACAAGATGTTTGACGGACTTTGAAACCAGTCTCAGCAGAAATAATCTGCCCTCCTCAAACGTTTGTAGAAATATAAACATGAAAATTGATCATGTTTTTGTCCATCAAGCTTTTTCTG